GGGAACTTATCCCGACCAACGACTCTGTCCAGTTCAGAGTGGACTTTAGCTTGGACATCAGGGTGTCTTATCATTAAGATAATATACCAAAGGATTGATGATGTTGTAGATTCGATACCAGCTGTAAACGCGTCCCCCATCGTCATGAGAATGTGGTCTTCAGTCATCACTTCGGGAGTTTTCTTTTGATCTTCCTTGGTTTCCTTTAAAGCTTTGATTAAGGCATCGGTCAGATCACGCGTTATTCCGTCTTGGTAGGTTTGCTGGTGTTCCTGGTACTTCCTGGTCAGCCTGCTCTTCGCTGACAAATAAATAGTCTTGGCAAGTTTCGAATCTTTGATCGGGAAATGAATCAAGAATGGTAAGAAATCTAGAATGGAAACTCGACTAAGCAAGTCATTAAGCTTCCACGTCTCGTCCAAAATTGTCTGGAATTCTCGATTGTRCATCTCGTAACGTTCACCGTACACCATAACAGAGATCACATTCATTGTAGTCAAAATGATGTCTTTAAGAGGATCGATTGCCTTTCCCTGATGTGCTGACAATCTTTTACTTAATTCCTGGACTTCCGTGTTCACTATGACTGTTAGGTTTGGTTGAAACAAGCGAATCGCAGAGTGAACGATCTTTCTTTGTAAGAGTAACGTAGATGTGAAGTCTTGTACTGCGATGTCCTTCGAACCACTTGTCAAATAATCTAAAGTAAATTGATAGGGCCTTCCCGCGAAATCATCTCGCTTTGTCACCAGTGCCTCACGAGCTGTTGAGGCCGAGTTGACAACAACAATACTTTGGCCTGGGAGACGGAGGGTGAAGATTTTCCACTGATACTCCCTGGAAATCTTTGTGAGTTCGATGTGCATGTTTTTTTGTTTCGTCCATCTCAAAACATCGAGCAGGTTTCCAAGTATTGGCAGAGCTGTCGGACAAGGAGGCATACCCTTTGATTTCATCATGAATGACACGATGATAAGCGTCAAAACCGAGACCACAAGTGCGAGGCAAAGTTCTAGTAACATGTTCAATATCCACACCAAGGCTGTATAAGATATAATTAAGGAGAATTAAAGTTAAACAAGTAGTTTTGCTTGGCCATGAATACTCAATTTTCAAGTTCAAATCGGATAACCGCTGTTTCATATGACAACACAAAAAGCACAAAAGCCTTACCAGAAAACTAACATAAGAACGTGAAAGAAACTACGAGAAAATGTTGTAAGTACAATAGCCCAAACAATTTGCATTTTCTCTGAGTTGAGGCTATTAAACCCTGTATTCTCAAAAGGCTTAAATTAGAGATAAATGTTCAAGGCTATTGTAACTCTCATGATTTCATTTGTCAGTTCTGGTATGGCTTTTGCGCAAGAGAATATGTTGTCAAATAAATCAGCGGTTATCCGCTTTGAACCCGAAAATGGAGTATTGAACAGTGAGGCTTACTGCAAAAAGGTTTCGTTTCGCAGTTTACAGTTTCTCAACTAAATCTGTA